GTAGAGGATATGCGCGTTATACATGGGGTGCGCGTTATCTACGATTGATTTTTTATTCAGAAATATTGTTAAATTTCTTACTGCGCGTTATACACGGGGTGCGCGTTGTCTATGGGATATTACGGTACTATATAAAGAGTTATGTATAAATTACAACAAAAGGGTTATATGCTGGGTGTACTGAAGTGTATTATTGCCTGCTTTTAATCTATGTGATCATGACTAATACACAGATTTAATATTTCTCTCTCTCTCTCTCTCTCTCTCGAAATAGTAATAAACTCATTAAAAATCCAAAAATGATATAATATTTATTAATATTTTTATGTTACGCATAAATAAACATATTCATTTATTATATAAAGTACAATGTATGATAAATTATTAAAGAACTCACGTATAAGAAAAGTCATTATCCTATAAATTATTGTCTATAATGCAGTTAAAATATTAATATTATTAATATTAAAATATCTCGTTTAAACAAATATGGAAATATTTTATTACTTTGTTTTTATTACTTGTTATAATGATAAAACAGTTTTAATAGGTAAATGGTAACATTATCAATAATACAAACAAACAATATTTCATAATACATTTGTTTTATATAATGTATTAACAATTCATAACTGAATTACATATAAACAATATAATCAACGCAAAAAAGTCCGCAAATTAACAAATAAAATGTGCCGGATAATTAACTAATTAATCAAGGTTTTTGTGAGCGTTTTAGCAATAAATTATCATTATTTTACAAGTTTTGGGAAAAACATGTTTATATTAATATAATTAATTGCATGGATAACACGCATATGTACCAAGGAAATTTATTGCCATAATATGATTAATATAATATGGTAAGAGTACTTAAATATAATTTGAAATCAAAATTCAATTAATCTACCATGATACATCTGGTCCAATAAAGTAACCAATATACTAATTTTTAATATCACAAACTTTATTAATTAAAAATATACTGTAACATTAAACTAGCTCCTGTTTTTGCTATAAAAATATTTAAAAGTTATTAATCAATGATCGTACAAATGATCGCAAATTAATTGATAAATCCATCAAGTAAACATTCTACTATACAATTTGAAAGTATATAAGACAGTTTAATTTTCAATAAAATTCACAAACATTTTTAAGACAAATAATCAATTGTTAATAAATAAATTATTTGCTATAATTTTATATATAACCTAAAATGAATTGTTTATTATTAGCCACGTTGGTTTTATGTAAGTTTTTGAAATATAATACATAATAATTTATAATAAATATGTTAGCATAACCATTTTATTTAAAAAACTAACACTTTATAATTAGGCCTAACAGCTCAGGCATACGGTGCGAGTGTTGATAAACGAGGTTTGATTGGCGATATTTTCCAACACCTGAACCCATTGAACCACAATTGCCAAACTGGAACCGGGACTACCGGTGCCGCACCAACTGCTATGAAAGTAGACCTTGATCAATTACTTCAGTCAGATTGCGAGCACCCGTTGTCTCCTAATTATAAGCAAACTTTGCGCCGATTGGACGTCGATCTGAAAGAGTTTGTCCCGGAGATCCCACCAAACCTAATCACTTGGAATATCCGCTTGGTAATTATTATTAATTAACCTTGTTATATTAACTTTAATTAAAAAATTTATTTTATTTTGCCCTTGTTTGTTTAATTGATAGCATTTACACCGTTTGTCAACACAACTGTAACCGTATCCAAAAGCGTGAAATGTGTGTCCAATGGTGTGAACCAATTGACTGGTCTATCACTCGATGCTGTCTTCCATCCCATGGAGTTGTCGTGCAGTGGCTTTCACTTCAGACAAATCCCGTATACATTCAGCGCCCACTTTAACGGACAACAGGAGGATTTGACTGTAGATAATTGCAACCAGGTGGTTTCATCAGTCAACGGTTAGTACCAACAATAAATAACTTGATAATTTTATTTGTAACTAACCTTAATCATATATATCAGGCAATATGTTTGAACTGAATTTGGGTGCCATAACCTCTGGCCGATGCAAAGGGGACTTACTATACGTGCAGACCGTCTATACATCGGACAACCCCTTAGCCTGTGCTGAACAGACCCTCAATACTCTGCGTATAACCCAAATGAGTGCCGCAATCTATGGCGACAATTGCCCGACAGAGTGCACAGACTATACCGCAACACCTGTTACTATTAATCCCGCCATTAATAACCAGGGTAAAGCTGAATTTGGTGATCAATATCTTGTAATTGATTAATAACCAATGTTTTCAATGCAATATTTAACATGATGATTAATTAATTATTATTTGTTGAATGTAATGTTAATTAAATTATTTAATTAAATAAAAGTTGTCTAACCGCAAAAAATATACTGTATGTCTATTTTAATAAATTTTAAAAAACTAATTTAATTTGGAAAAGAATATATTTTTATAAATTAAAGTACAATTAAAATGTTAGAAAAATAATTGTTTAAAAATCATTGTATAATCATTATATTTGTAACATTTGATTATAATTAATTGTATATTTAATTTAAAAATAATCATTATTTTTGCAGTCAATCGCTTCACACAAAACACTATTATTTGTATTCAAAATAAATTATCAAATAAACTTTATTTTAAAGATTTTTAATCATATCGTTTACATAAACACAGTAATTTAGTAAACATTAAATATAATTAATATTGATTACGGTATCTTTATTAAAATATTTAACTATAATGTTTACGAATATGTTTAGGCAAATGAAATTAATTAAAATAAAAAATGGATAGTTAAATTTACAAATAATTATAGTTTTTATAATATCATTATTATATTTAGTTGTGTTAAAATTTTAATGAATACTTTTCACATGTGATCGTAATTCAAATTTTGTAACAAACCGTTGATTACAGTTATTATGAATACATTTATGGCTTTTTATATTCAGATGTCTTTTCATATGTACTTTTAAATCACCATTGGTGCGAAAATTTTTGTTACATTCATTAAAATGACAACTAAATGGTTTTTCTCCCGAATGTATGCGTTTGTGTTGAATGATACTTTGTTTTGTAGTAAATTTTTTGCCACAATTTTTTTCATTACATTTGAATTTTTTTTCATTCAAATGAACACAACTTTTGTGTTTAATTAAAGCAGATTTTTGTGAAAAACTTTTGTTGCATTCATTGAAATTACAAATAAATGATTTCAATTTTAAATGAACTGTTTTGATATGGCTTAATAAAGTACCATGTTGTTTGAAGGCCATGGTGCACTTTTTTTCATTACATTTGAATTTCCTTTCATTCAAATGAACACAACTTTTGTGTCGAATTAACGTGTGTTTTGTTGTAAAACTTTTGTGGCATTCATTGAAATCACAAATAAATTTCACATTTAAATGAACGGCATTTTTGTGTTGATTTAAATTTACTTTTTGTGAGAAAACTTTATTACAATTATTAAAATCACATTTAAATGATTTTATTTCTGAATGAATTAATTGATGATGAATTAAATTACTTTTACGTGTTGTCTTGAATTGACATTTAGGCCAAAAACAGTGGAAATAATCATCAGATTTAGTAATGATATGACAATTGTTTAGCATTTT